CATTGCACAGCGAATACTAGGTGAGATTATATGAGAACCCGCCCACTATACCACTGTGCTGTAGGGGTGGATGACAGCACTGACCCTATAATTTAAATGCCATAGGGAACCAGCTCTTTTAAAGAAGTTGACGCGACCACCGTCTGGCGAGCCACAACTTAACCGGGTTTCAGGTCTGCTGAGGGCCCATAGCGTCGGCGACAAATCGTCTCGACAGTGAACGTATCTGGCGCTGCAAAATGTCCAAGCGAAACCGAACGTCGCCGTGACGCCAAACACAATAAAGAAAAATAACCATTTTTGATCGCTGGGTGCGATAGCGCTGCTAACCTCTTCTCAGACAGCATGATCGAAAACAGATAAATAAGTTCCGTCAGATATGCATAAAGTAAAACAGGAACACAAACGGTCCAGTATCGCTATTCGTACTTAACTGGAAATAAGCGTGGCGCAGTAGCTAACTAGGTATTCGCTATCACTAACATGTGTTATATACGCGCTGGTTTCCCTACTCACACGAACTAGACTTTATTTAATTAGATATTAGAGCGGTGGGCCACCACGAAGCCACACATGATGGGAGTCGGGGACCGAAATAGAGCGTCCATTGACAACTTTCTGAGCTAGAGAATTGTACTCGTTGTGATGGTTCAGAAGTTTGCGGTAGTATCACAATAAAGACAAGCCACACGAAGTCAACCTCACTATTCCCCTTCATCGCCAACTAGTGACCATAGCAGAACACTGGCTAATGTAATGTTAGGCCTTAGTATTGCGTGGCACACGTCGGGCTCTCATTTAAGTTTGGCGCAAAAGCACCAATCGCTTAGTACGGCCAGGTTTGAAATAACTGCAGCGTGGAACGCCCTTCCCGAAGAGGTTGTCCACCCCACCTGTGTTAATTCATTTAAGAGCAAATTGGACATACACCAAACACCTCGTTCCCCAGTCACCTGCTAACCAAGAGCCAGGCATAAATGCACAGGCATTACATTATACTACTTATGATAAACGAGTAGCCATGTTTTATTACTATTTAGATCAGCCGGTAACTGCTGTGTTTTCACCCGCAAGCGTGCAATTGACGTACTTACAATAAACTAGTACTAATTACTTACGAATCCGCGACGGTACACCGTCATATGGCACTCAAATAAAGGCCACTTTTGCGAGCACGGTTAAGAGAAACAAATGCATTAAAAATAGGCACTATGAAATACGGTCGACGTCCAGTTTTTGTCCATGAATGAGGAGCAAAATCCAAAGTCATCCACGAGGGAATGCCGCACTCACCTCATCTCCCATGCCATGGTTTGGCGGCATGCCTCCTGAACCGGCAGCAGCGGCTGCGGCAGCTGTCACGGCGGCATACATGTTAGCCTCTTCTTTGGCCTTAGATATATTCTTTTTGTAACG